GGGGGGGGGGGGGGGGGGGGGGGGGGGGGGGGGGGGGGGGGGGGGGGAAGTGGGGGAGGCGTAACACGCCAAGGCCCGGCCGACTACCAGCTCTCCCTTTACAATTTACCAACGTAAGCGAGTAATTTTAACATCAACAACAGGACTGTCAGGTTGAAGTGTGCTCTGACGCACTCCAACTAAGCTCTGCTCGCTTTCACGATCAATAACGTCATCATCACATGAATATGGCATACATGTCGATACCCTCACAGCTACTTACCATGCTGTGACACAATTTCTTTTCAGTATAAGAGAAAGGCAAATGAAACACTGACGTCAATTCTTGTGTAGGAAGGAAATATGCGTTCTCAGCCGCATGAACATACCTCATTGTTTTCACTTTTGTTGGTGATTTCCTGGTTGTATTTAATTGGCTCAAGCCATGTTCTGCTGATTGTTTGACCCAGCTCCTGTAAACTATGACTGTTATGGTATTGAAAATCGTGTAACACTGGGGAGCAGATATGGCAAGAAATTGCGTTTAATTTCAAATTGTGTGCACTGATATCTGCGTTCTGAAAATGCTCCTAGTTCGGCCATGAACACAATGTCTGACCCTAAAATTCCTTTCTTCTACAATTCTGTGAACTTCTACGCAGTCAGTATTTTGATTAAATTGCCGGTCACAGCTTTTCGTAAACATTCAAATGGATTCCTCGCTGAATAACAACTACGCTTCGCAGTCTAAATTCTCTCCTCAACAAAGAAAATCGTTTGATCCAAATCAACATGCTAGTTTAGCAGGAAGGCGTCATGCAAACCCTTGTTATAAAGAGTCGGCTTACCGCCAACGGAAATATTACCTGTTCATAATTAAGGAAACTGTGATACAAATGGCACGTATGTCGGTGATTTGTCAATAAAGAAAAACAAATAGATGATCCGAGCGTATCGCGTCTCCGAGCAAGGTTAACTGTCGAACATGAAAAAAACAAAACCAAACAAACAAAACAAGACAAAAACCAACAAACAAGGAGTAAGGGAGTTACGGATGTGTCTATCAATGAGCTTGAAGAGACGATCTGAACTTGTAGAATCATGCAGTCTGCTACCTCGAGTGATATAAACAGCCTCGATGATTTCGTGTCAGATTATGAAGAGGTATTAAAGGTTACGTATGCGAGTTATTTGCACAGCACATAGCTGTTTTCAAGTTTCTTTTGTGCTTGATTTGAACTATTGAACCGAAATGAAATTCAGTCCTTGATAATAAACCCACCCACAGTATCAGTGATGAGCAATGCACTTGATAGGAGATAAATGGAGTATTCGAGTAGCCACAACTGAAAAACTGTAACAATTTACAAGTTGTACACATCTTTTCATTCACCGATAGATCTTGAATCGGACAAAAGAATAAACACAAATGAAAAGTGATTCAAATGGGCAACGCGCTGGCGTGATGGCAAACAGTCAATGTGATCCTGGAAAACCCCTTGCGGCAGGGCGCTAGAAGTATTTTTTTATAACGAAACTGTGAGACGATGAGCGATGTCTAGTTTTAATTACAAGTGGTACAGACATCTAAAATTGAATATCCTAAAGAAATCAAGACATCTGGAGTTGTCTGATGCATTGCGTGATTGCACTAATTTAATCGCGTGACTTTTCATCTAGCGTGACTTTTCACAGTTATCACTCGGGTTGTAAATATAACAGTAGTTCTTTAAAGTACAACTACAAATCCATTTGAGGACCATACATTTAAGGTAAAATACATTGGAACATTGAAAATTGCACTAAAATAAGTGAAATAATTTTTCCCTATGGACATTTAAAGAATTGTGTTACGTACTATTCAATAACACCACAGCGTTATCTTATTTTATGGTATGCAGATAATCTGACATTACAGAGATTAGCGAAAAATTTATAAAAAAAAAATTAAGGATATTAAAGTACAAGTATCAAGCAAGAGCTGGTTTTTCTGTCGTTAAAAACAAATTCTCGCTCAGATAACTTCTTTCTACGATCGATGGTTCAGCTATCATTCCAATTACAATAAAAAGGACGAAATGTTTTGCTTTGCCCAGCTTTAACTTGTTGACAAAAGTGATAATTCCTCCGATATATTTGTGGTACAGTGTACATTTTTATCTGTCTAGACGTTTTATCTCAGACAAAGAATCGCGTTTTTGCACTCAACGTTATTATATTGATATCTTAGAACTTTGAACTTTAAACTTTAGAAGTTTAAAATTCATTTTTTGTTTTTTTTTTGTTTTTGTTTTTGTGAAAATACATTCTTTATTGATACACATAAACCTGTATACAGTACAATGCAATAAACCACAATGTTAACAGTTGCAAAATTAATACATTTATAAGCTATAGTAAATAAAAATAAAGAGAGATTTAATAATAATCATAATGACTTAACCAGAGTAGACCAAATCTGGAGCATCATTGCATGTAAATTTTAATCTAAATCTTCCAGCCTGTACTTAGAGGAGATTTTGCTGACAAAATCTGTGATGTGAAGAGAATTATTGTGTAACTTATTAGTATAGATAAAGTAGCGAGCAAAAAGCATGGTGTAATTAAATTTTTTCAGTAGTTCTTTATTGGCAGGATTGGAAAAAATCCCAAATAAATATTCTTGATTTGACGGTTTGAACGAAGAGTTATTACAGTTGTTGAACCATTGCACCACTTTTGACAAGAAATCTT